AAAGCTTTATTCTGCCTTGGTCAATTAGTCTCTTTTGTTCGTAATTAAGTAGAGTTTCGAGACTACTAGTAAATCAGTAATATGAGATGTATTCACGCTATTTCGTTTAAGATGATAAAAAACTGGTAATAGAATTTTCCCACAATAATATGTGTAGAGCTGACATTTCCATTACATTTCACATAGCCTTGCTTTCCCAAAAGTTGTTCTTATTTAGGATGGACTGCAGTTTCGACCTAGAATCGGCCTTATCAGCACCTCCAGCGGGAGTCGAACCGTGGCAGTGCAGAATGGGAGCTTGACACGTTAATTACTCGGCCACACTGCCACTAGTGCTGTTGGTTCACAGGGCAGATGTGAATTTCAAGGAAGGCCAGGCCTTTTGCCATATATTTATTGGTGGGATTGTTGATGAAGAAAACGTATATTTGCTATTACAATCGATTGCGTTACTTATTTTTCTTCAGCTCTGCTCATATCATTTTTGAAAAACTCTACTACAAGTTCTTCATTACCTTAAATGAAATTGGGTGAGTACATCTTATATTACTGATTTACTGGTAGTCTCAAAACTTTACTTAAATACAAAAATCCTATATTTAAACTAGGACATCTTTTCCCTTTTAAAGTTAATAGCATTTAGATTAATTTGCTCTGAAGTTCTGCTTTAAAGCTTTCTTTGTAGTCCCCTTTAGCTGCTATCTGATTTGCTTACTTCATTTTTTAATGCATGTATGTATGTGTGTAGATTTCATCTCACTGTCACACCAGCACCAGCATCGATCACACTCCATTCCAGACGCGTCCATATGCTCTGAAAAAGCCTTACCACTATAACCCATTGAAGCATCACGGTTCCAGCAGCAGCAATATCGACAGTGAAACCACATTCACTGGATGTCCCTCTGACCCGGCTAACTGGTGCGCGTCTGAGACTACTGCTCGCAAGTGTCGCGTCCTAGAACTGTGCCAGCTGCACGTCTGGCACGGCAAGTCAACGACGCCAAATACCGATATAGCTGAGCCGGCACCAGTCTCGACGCCACAGCTACAGCACTCTTCCCGCCTTAGCACAAATTGGCGTCTGTCCCAAGGCCGGCGGTGTATCGAAGGCATTTCTTATTTCTGTTCTTCATTAGAAGCTGCTCAAGAATGTGATTCACTCTCCTTCTGCCAAGATAATGTCTGGAAGTCCCAGAAGCCCGGCTCTTCCAGACAAACATCCCTTTCCGAGCCATTTGCCAGTCATCTTGCTGACCAAACGACGACATCTCTGCAGAAGTGCCAATGGGGCCCATCGTTCTGGTGCACTAACCAGAGCAATGCTATTCTCTGTGGAGCAGAGAAGTACTGCAGCCGTTTCGTGTGGTCCCTTGATTCAAAACCCATCTCTCAAACCCCGAGTGTTGACTCTGAGGTGAGCCCGGATCCATTGAAAGAGACGACCTCTATACCCTTGATGTCATCTAATCTGCATTCTATCAAATTGGTAAAGAAACGCGGAGCTTTAGTAGGCTCAGATCGATGCACTTGGGGCCCCGCTTATTGGTGTTCGTCAGTTCCGGCTGCCCGAAGCTGCGGTGGTGGCGCATACAAACACTGCGTTGACCTTGTCTGGCTCAAGTCACCGGTGAACTGAGGGACCCCGACTAACCCTAGCGCACCGACTGGCTTCTCCACGCCATCATTAGCAGTTTCCATAAATTGCAGACTCAACGCATTCTGCTCCATCTGCATCCAGACCTCTCCTAAGGACGCCAATTATGTTGTCGGTCTTAACGATGTCTATTCACAATTTTCTTCTGCCTCTCCGGCGGCAGCCTTTTTACGCAATGTCACTCTTTTTCCCCGTTGTATCAGAACTCGAACAGTGCTAGTGTTTCTGGTATCGTACTATCAGAATAGCCTAATTTTTTCGTACATACGATATTTAATTATGTGCGTGTCTGATCATTTTTAAGAAATAACTATTTTTACAATTATTTTTATTTCGCCATTTTTGATTCTTACGTCTTCGACACGTAATTAACATATTGTCGTTCTTTTATCTCCCCAATTTAGTTCTTCATTGAATAAAGTAGACTATTCAGTACTATTCATTTGGGCATCGCTGCACAATGGGCCATTTATTATATGTGAACTTTATCATTATTGAGATCTTGCTAGAGAAGGCGCTTTCGCCCATTTGTATAGTTCAAGTCCTACCGGAGCTGATCCTTCAATCCATGTTTGATCATTCAGGACGGAAACGGCCCGGGCCTCTGGAGGATTTGGTTTTCATTGCGGTGTGTTCCTGTTCAGCAAATTGTTTCCCGCTTATGTTGGCTAGGTCATAATCTCAGCAGAATTGCTAGGACAGTCTTATTTAGTTTAAAGTTAAATTTTACTACAATCATATGAGTAAAGCTGACGTTTCCATTAAATTTCACATAGCCCCGCTCTCCCAAAAGGATTTCTTATCTAGACTGGCCTGCATTTTCGACCTCGCATAGCCCTTATCAACAGTTCCAGCGGGAGTCGAACAATGACAGTTCAGCGTGTAAGCTCGACACGTTAACCACTACGCCACATTGCAACGAGTGCAATTGGGCCACAGGGTAGATGTGAATTTTAAAGAATGCCAGGCATTTTCGATATATTCAATGTTTGGATTGTCGATGAAGCAAACTTATATTGCTATAGCGATCGATGGCATTACTTTTTTTGTGAATGAGTAGGTTTTCGAGATTACCAGTAAATCCGATATGTAAGTTGTTTTCACCTTATTTCGTTTAAGGTGATGAATGATTGGTAGTTGAATTTACCCACAATTATATGAGTAGAGCTGATGTTTTCCATTGAATTTCACATAGCCTTGCTTTCCTGAAAATGCCGACTTTGACTTAACGACACCTACTCACTCACGAAAAAAGTAGTCGTCGATTTCTATAGCAAATATATGTTTACTTCATCAACAATCCCAACACAGAATGTGATATGAAAAATGCTTGGCCTTCCTTGAAATTCACATCTGCATTGTGACCCACTTGCACTCGTGGCAATATGTCGTAGTGGTTAACATGTCGAGCTTACACGCTGCACTGTCACGGTTCGACTCCCGCTGGAGGTGTCGATAAGACCGATGCGACGTCGAAACTGCAGACTACCTTGAATGAGAACAACTTTCGTGAAATCAATGGAAACGTCAGCTCTACTCATCATTGTGGGAAAATTATACTACCAGTCCTTCATCAACTTAAACGAAATAGGATGAATACATTTCATACAACTCATCTGATTTACTTATGTTCTCGAGAACCTACTCACTACAAAACAAGTTATTAGACAAATTTTTGTTTAGGTTCTTAATGACAGCATCCTGCAAGCTTCCAAGAAAGCTAGCCGAATTAACGAGGAAATGGTGCTTCAAGAAAACATGCACAACTAAACTGACGCTTTCCTCCATCACGCCTTATTTTAGAGAATCTTCTGACACCCTCTACATACCTTCCATTTCGTTTAAGAAGGCGAGTCGAAGGGATTCGTAGATTGGCCTCACTGGATATCAAAGGAGAGTTGCTTTGGGCTTTTTCCCTTTAACTTGTGCGAAGTAGACCTCGGCTCACTGTACTACGATTCCGAAAATTCCGTGCTGAACTTTAGTCCGTCATGACGCACATCGTCAGCTGGAAATCATTATTCACGAAAAAAGCGCCAAAACGCTAAACCAAGTAAGGTGGCCAGCTGAGAACCTACTTCTTATACATCACTTTGCGAGCTTAATGAGGCATTCCATGATTTGGTTGGCTGACGTATGCTTGTCCTAAAAGCATTTAAG